CAAAACTCTTTTGTTTGGTTTTAATAATTTTCTACTCAATAATATTTGTGACAAAAAGAGAAACTCGTGTTATATATAAGTCACGAATTTCTGTCATTCATATTAAATACAATACTCTATTTAATTGTATATATTTTCTATTGTTATTATAATTGATTTGGGAAAATATTTTCAACAATAATTTATTATAAATAATTAGCACTGTTAACACATTTTTATAATAATAATTACAATGTTACTCTATAAATAAAATTTTATATTTATTTTTACTATTCATTCATTTTTGTGATAAATCTTTAATTATCTTGATTTTCGAAATTAAATTTATTTAATGATTAAAAAGTTTCAAACAATTTATTAATAAATTAAATTATATGTGAACTAAAAATCCGGAATATAATTTTGGGCCCAAATTGTTCAGAAATGCAACGAAAGCATCGATTTGTGAAAATCTGAACACAATTTAACAGAATTGAAAAGTTTTCTCACAAACCATTGATTCACTGAATTCATGGTCACTAATATCGTCACTATTTATAATAATAGCATTGCATTTGCGCACAGAATCCTCTCTCTCTCTCTCTCTCTCTCTCTCTGCACTGCTTTCTATGCTCTCTCCGTTGTATCCCATTCTCAATCTTTTTGTGTTCACGTGTTTTACTGTTCATCAACTTTTTGGGTCACAATTCAAATGATTAATGATTTGGAAGTTTACGGAAAGATAGAGAAATTTATGTTCAGAAAGAGTTTATATAAAAGAACAAAATTTCCTCCATTTGTTTCAATGGGATTCTGTGTTCAATCCTGTGTTACATTAATTCTGACCATATTTTGTTTGTTTAATTAATTGAAATTTTGTGTTTATTTATATTTTTAAAATATAACAAAATATTTCATAACCAATTTAATACTATTGTTATAAATCCTAATTCATCAGATTTATCATAATTGATAAGAATTATGTGAATAAAAATTATCATATTGTTTTTTGTGAGGGGATTGACAAAACAAATTATTATATATTTAAAGTAAATTAGTTTAATGCTGAGTTAAATGTATAAAAATCATTAAAACCGCGACAAATAAAATTACATTTAGTTAAGTGAATACCAACCGATAATACATTTAATTTGATTTTCTCGTTAGTCTTATGTAAATAAATAATGTTAAATTATTTTCAAGTAATAGTGAATTGAATGTATTTGGACAGTATTTTCATGAATTAAAAATTGTATTTCTTACATACATTGTATTTATACATAATAGAAATTATATGACAAAAGATTTATTTTTTGCCTCAAATTCCAAATAAAATAATTTTTATTCATTTTTATTCTTGTTTTCCTCAAAATCCCAAAATAAGAAAATTGAAAAACTATTCATTTGAATGAAAATGAAAGCCAAGAGAGAAATTCATAAAAATGGAAATTTGTGTTCACATCACATATAAATATAATCAAAATCACAGTAAATATGAGTTATTTTCATTTTCTTATAACAGAAAACTCGAGTTTTATCATAAAAATAATTTAATCAATTATTTGTGGTAGAATTTGGTGCATTTTAAATATAAATCCTTGACATTTAAATATTTGAAAAAACATCTTTCATTAAACTATAGATAAGTATAACAATAAAAAATAAAAATGATTAATTACTCTTTTGCAGTATCGAGATAATTTAAAAACGATTCTTAAGCAATCAAACTATAATTTAATTTCATAATAAGCTCTATTTTAAAAACCAATAATTTATAATAATTTAAATATTATAATTATAATTATCCAAATTTAGTAGACATTCAAATAAATTTTTTTAATAAGTTTGTAAAAATGTTTTTACAAGAGTTTTAATTTTGTAAAAAAGTAGAATCATTTAACAGGATAAAATTAATTAGGGTCACAATTTGATAGATATAGATTATTTCATTTACATTTTAGGATTTATCATATATTATTATTAATAAACCATTTAGTAATTATTTAAATAAACAATAAGGAATATAAGAAACATTACAATAAAATGCGAAAATATTATCAAATCTTTGCACTAAACAAAGAGCTGATACTGTAATCCTTGCCCTTTATTACAACGAATGCAGACATTATGTATTGATTTATCGGAAATTCAGTATATTTTATATGAAACAAGAAAAAGTGTTGAGTTTTGTGCCAAACACTGGAGTCATATATAAAAGTCTCCGGAATAGCTGTTAATCACATAATTCTTTGCTCTCATTCTTGTCTAACATTTTTCTAAATCCTTGTCTTCTGAATGTTGGCTAAACTTTTATAGTAAACATGAACCTTGATAAATTTTATAAACAATTGTCATCTGAAATTAAAAACGACAAATAAAACCAAATAAAAATACATTGAAAAATATTTTGTAGACACTTATATGTCAAAAGTCTTAAGTTATTTTTGTCGCACAATTGATTTGCTAGATAATTCAAGATAACAGTTACTTATTACTGATTAGGAGTTATAACAGCGACTCAATGGACCACTATTTTGATTTCAATACAAACACTGTATTCAAGTGTTTTCAACTCAATCTAATCGATCATTTTGCTGACAATTTCTTTATCTAAGTCTCGCTATTGTCTACCATTTCATCCAAATATTTCCATTCAATCTGTTTATTCAATATTCTGTTTAAGAATATTCTGCATATTTGGTGTTCACTAAGAATTTTAAAAACAATATTAAAGTAATTATTGATTTTAACGTAAAAATGTTGTAAAAACCTTTTAGTCTCAGAAACACTAAGATTTTTAGACAGACTAAAGAAAATGACAATTAATTACCGGGTGTTTCCAAACTCAAGGACTACTCGTTTGTGGTTTTTTGTATGAATCTCATGATTCTTGTGTTGGTTTTGATTTTTTGTTCATTTCATGAGAACAGACACACGACTGGTATCGCAAGAATTGCCTCAAAAATACTCTCAAATTTTGTGTTATTATTATTATTACTATTCTTTAAGAACTCATATTATTTTAATAGGGAAATAATTTCTGGAAATTTTTTTGAATTACTTTTTTCACTGAATTCTTGATATATGTAGTTAATATCAATTTCTATTCACACGAGTATTCCAAGCATAACATGAAAAATGTTTGTCATTTAAGAGAGAGAGAGAGAGAGAGAGAGAGAGAGAGAGAACTCTCTCTTTTTTGTGTAATTCTTTTGTCATCAGAATTCAGATTTATTTCTTGTGTGACAATGAACTCAAAACTTTGTTATCCGCAAAACTATACAATAAAATGCATTTAGAAATTTCTTTGTCATATTTTTTTCGTAAAAATGTGAAAGAATATAATTTATAAATGACTTACATATTAGTGTTGTTTACTAGTAACACTATAATAAATATCAGTTTGTAGTGAAATAAATTTCAGAAATCTTTTGGTACACTGTTTTTGTTCACAATCCTCTTATCAACACTCGCTATAAAGAAGTTATTTTTAATAAAGTTTTTGATAAAATACTAATCGATATATATTTTTATAGTGAATGTGTGTTAAAGCAAAATTCAATTTAATTTTACTGTGTTATTTTTAAAAACACAAAAATTCAATCATAAGAACAATATATTTTAGCAATTGTTAGAAAAACAAGTTTTATATTTTTATAAAATTTTTATTTCGATTTTAAATTGAAATAAAACATAATTTGGTCAATTCACTTATTTTAAAACTTATAATTCACAACATACCTACCAGATTAATTTGTGCGGTTAGATAAATAACAAAACAAACAGCTCACCTCACAGTAATCTATATTAAATGTAACAAAAATTTCACAAATGATACTGTTGAACTTAAAAATTGTTTTATGAGTTACCTACCTTTTATTAGTTTTACAAAACATGCTCTCTCTCTCTCTCTCTCTCTCTCTCTCGATTACTAAATCTATTTTTAAAAAGAAGTTTACCATAAAACTATTTCATATGCAAAATGTATTGAGTTAATTTTACTCTAGAATATTCTGGAAGTACCTATAGTTAAGATTGATTAAATACTATTGTAATGGGTTTACAATATATGTTTGTAATCTATCATGCAAATAATCTAAATCTTTAATATAACATCAAATATTACATTACATTTAATGATTTATAAAACCCAGAATAAAATAGTTTTGTTGAAACAGTTTATTGCGGAGAAATGAGTGAAACGTGAGCACCAGTGCAGCCATACATTGAAACATTGGACTAAATAATCGATTTTAACACTTCTGTCAATCATATCTCTATTAACAAACACACGAATCATACAATTATATAAATTTTCAATTAATATGAACTCAATTAAGCTCAATATTTTTAAGTTTAATTTAAAACTACTCAAATTTTATAGTAATATGTTAATTATGGTTATATCTTGAGTACAAAAGTGTACTGAAATTATGGTAGTATAATTTGTATAATTTATGAATGTGTGCAGACATCCTAATTCTTTAAGGCTTATTATTTTAGATTAGCATTTAGCTAATGTTTAAATTTTAATCTCTTATCTCTTTTAAATCCTAATATTTTTCCATTATGTCACACGCGTTGTGGGAATTTTAACATACATTTTGTAGTTGCTAACTTTGAAAAGTTATAAATAAGTTGTAAGTTATAAAGTTACATTTAAGTTGGGACTTTATTTTTAAACTCATTGTTTTCAAAATTAGTTAAAAATGAGAAAATGTATTATTTCTTTATTCCTATTAGCCGTACATTTAGTCCATTGTAATCAACAATTTTCTGGCAAGAAATGGATAGTGCTATGCGCTGGTGGGTCGGGTTGGATTAATTACCCTTTCCAGGTTTGCCTTGGTTATATATTTTTTCAATAATTGTCATATAATTATACCAAATAATTTTGTTGACAAGTAGGCCAGTATATACCACGCTTACCATATGTTTATAGACCACGGTATACCCAAAGAAAATATCATAGTAATGCATTACGATGACCTGGCTCACAATAAACTGAACCCAACACCCGGTGTCATTGTTAATCAAATCAATGGCAGTGATGTCTATAACGGTGTACCAAAAGATTATGTCAAAGACATGGTTACTCCAGAGGTAGAGTTTGGTGGAAACGTTTATGATTTGCAAATAATAAACTAAAATATTTGTGAAAACGACAGAACTTTTTGGGTGTCCTTAGAGGTGATCCCAAATTAAAGGCCACCGGAAGTAAAGTGGTTGAGAGCGGACCTAACGATCATATATTTGTGTTCTTTATGGACCATGGTAGTTTAGGTGCGTGTTTAAAACAATGATCTACTAGACTAAAACAGTATTTTCAAAATTAATTGAATAATCAATTGTATATTTGTTTAAAGGATTTGTTTCGTTTCCAAACGGAAAGCTATTTTCCGAAGACTTAATTAATACACTCAAAGAGATGCACCAAAACAATAGATACGCTAAACTGTTATTTTATTTAGAGGCCTGTCATTCAGGTAATAGCTAGTAATCTACTACAAATGTATAATTAATAATTACATTTAAGCCTCAATGTTTGGCGGTTTACCAACTGATATCAACGTGTATGCCGTGTCATCATCCCGGGCCATTGAGCTCAGTTATGCCTGTTGTTTTGATGACTATCGGAAGGCTTATGTGGGTCAGTTTTATAAACCTATATTTTATAATTAATGTTACGATTAGTACTATTTAATTTTGTATTATAAATACAATTTTATTTAAAAATAATTTTTACAATAATGATCAGGTGGGTTTTTTAGTAATAACTGGTATGCGAACAGTGAGGCCAATGATTTCAATGTCGAGACTGTTGATGAACAGTACAAATATATAAGCGAGAGATATATTGTACCTGATCAAACAAATATTCCCAAAAATATGACTGAGCATGCAACACACTATGGAGACCTCTCTATTGGACAATTATATCTCTCGGAATTTTTCGGTAAATTATATTCATTTTATAAAATATGTCACTTTAGAAAACATAAAAATTATTTTATTTTATTTGAAAATAGGGACTAAAACTCCACCAAAAGTTTTTGTAAACAATAAAAATGATTTGCCAGATAACTGTGATTTCGTGAACACTAGAGATATTGGCATACATTTGCTGCATAAGAATATTGAGTCGACTGATAATATTAGTGAGAAGCTGAGGTAAACATTCATTAAAAATGGTTCAAATCTTAAATTAATTTCGATTATTCAGGTATAAAGAGGATTTACAACAAATATTAGACAATAGGAAATATATTGACAATCATTTGACAGGATATGTGAATAGTATTAAAGATGTGACACAAACCGAAACCAATGCTATACTCTTAACAACACAAGACATTACAAACAACGACTGTTATGTCAGATTTGTTCACAAATTTCATGAAAAGTGTTTTAACTTAAACCAGGTTGTAATTATTATAAGATGAATTGTGAATAATTAATAATAATTTATTTATTAATCCTTTAGAATCCATATCTTTTGGGAAAAATGAATATTTTTGTAAATATTTGTGAAATACTGTTAGATACTAGTGCTGCCAACCAGGCTATTAATCGTTTGGTCCGATATTGTCAACAAAATGTTAATTTAGAAACTTTGATTATTTAATAGAAATTAATAAAAAATTAATAAAATTTAATTTTTAACATTTCAATAACATAAACCTATTGAATATATAATATTGAATATACAGTATTATATAATATTAGCAAACAATTAATAATACTAAAATCGATACAATAGATATTGACATAACTATTACTTTAAATATTTAAACAAAATTACGCTGATATTAATGCTTGAAAATAGTTTATTTAGTAATTACTGTTAATATTGAATAGATTTAATAGAATTTAGAAATAAATTTGAATCAATCATTTAGAGCATAGGTTTGAGGAACAGTAGGTCATAGTGTCGACACCACTCCCATTTGAA